TTCAATCTCGTGGAAAGGCCTGTCAACTGACACTTTCTTTGATTTCTTGGTCAACCTAAAATGTACCTTTCATCAGCACACTTTGAAATATGTTGGATGTCCAGAGCGATCAGTGAAGAACACCAACTGGCCATGACCAGAGCACTGAGCATGGTTAATTTCAAAGTGAGTTTCTTAATTGACAGACGACAATTGTCAGGCCAAGTTTTGGTGAAATTCAGCATGATTGCGATGTCCCAAGTCGGGAACAAGACGTACCCCCAAAGGCTCCCATTGAATGTGACCCTCGGCTATGGAAAGAGCCTTAATTTTGCACCCCCGAAGAGAAGTCACCACAGCCGCAGTTACTTTTAGCTTTTTCCATCAAAGTTGTTGCAACTTTCACAAGGTACATTCTGTAGTGTGTGGCTCTCCAGAAGTGTCAACAGTATCCACCAAGTAAACCAGGCCACTATCAGTGGATGTAACAGCACAGATGACAGGCTCACAGTGGACATTTGACCATCCATCTAGTCTGAGGCGGACAGTTTTTGTCATTTAAAATACCCGCACATTTGCTGGATTCTTTGACGGACACTGCGGGCAGATATTCATCTGCAAAATCCCGACTTATTTTGACAAATTCAGGGTGGTGTACTATGTGAAATGCAAAATTGGTGTCCCATACTATTCTTGCAGCTTGCTCATCAAGCTCAGCCTTTTGCATAGCAGAGGTTTAGAAGACAAAGCTATCCAGCTCTTGTTTGTTTGCAAATTGGATGTTCCGATGAGGGTCATTTTTCCAGTACCAGTATGGAGAGTGGATGTTCTTGGTGTTGCAGATGCAGTGGCTTCTAATGACCTGAGTGGTCAGTTGATTTTTTTCGGATTCTGAAATATGAAATGAAACAAATGAATTCAGTCAGTGAGGCATTTTCTTCTAAAGACATTGAATCATTCACTGTATCCATCCGTCAATTGTCTGGTCTTTTATTCTGTATATAAATTTCTTTCATTCAGTCAATTTCTCATCATCAAGGTTACTCATGTCTGATTTACATGTACATTTCCATTTATTTTTGTACAGTACAATTTTATATTTACGTCGACTACATCTCATTCTGACATCCTTTGTTTTTATCACAGAGAGCTGTTTTTATATTTATGTTGGCTTGCATAGTTATCATGCACAAAATGAACAAAAGACCACAAATACAGATATTATAAACGTACTCACTCTACGTACTCACTGCTGTGGCTCCGAGATGTTGGAAGGATTTTCTCTATCATAGCACTTACCACAGTGTAATTTCATCCCTTCACCAATCCCTGCAACTCATGTTATCTCACATGACACCCTATAGCTGTTTTTATGCTATTTTTTCCCGGTGGTTCTATCTCATAGTTTTCTCCATCTTACCTGATTAAGTGTTGTCCTCTGTGTCTGTGAAGCAGCTGTACATTTATCAAATTCATGTGGGAGATATACTGTATGTAACTTATGTGGAGGTAAACTGTATCTGAAATCGAAAGGTAAGGGTGTGATTTTAGTCTAATAACTTGATTTAAATACCTTAATATCATGATTTGCTTGATTTTGACACGAGAAATTAAGTTATCACAAATACAGCTACACCCGTGTTTGCTTGCTTTGGAATTGTTACTTCGTTGTGTGCCTGCAAGAAGGACGTAAGCACATACGCCCTTTTGCCAGGAAGAATGATCACTGCAAAGAAACTTCTCCCAGCAAAAGGATGTACAAAGATTTTAATGAAGTATAAAAATTTCTTGGCAAAATGTTTAACCGAAAAATTTCGCAAGTTGTTTGATAAGTTGTTCTAAGGTTTGGAAAATGGAGTTTTACAAATCAGATATTTTTGTTTTATTTTGTAGACCAAGCATGCAGATGGATCAACATTTCCTTGAAATTGCTAATAAGAAAATCCAGTTAAGTGATGTGAGTAATTGTTTGTGCCCGTCATATTACCATCAGTACTTAGTTTTATAGACTAGTCTTAAAACCTGTCACTGTGAACCAGTGTGGAATGTTTCACTCTAGGGTTATATAAATGATGAATGGATGTAAGTGGTTCATGCATAAGTCATTAATCTGGAGTATTACCACATATGGGGATAGTGACCTTTCCCTGAGCCCCACAGAGACAGCAATTTTCATCTTCAACATTTAATATCTCAAGTTGGCAACAATGAATTTTAAATCTCATTTGTGCAGACATGTTTTAGAATGTATAGATGATGTGTGTAGTGTTCTTTCTTTTGCACGGCCAATCAGATGTTTGCAAAAGGAACATTTCGGGCGGTGTTTTTGTTCCATATGCTCCAACGTTTAAGAAAAGGAAATATGCACAGTCCTTTGTGAGTGCTAGAACAGCCTTGTGATTGGTCAGATTGCATGAAATTTATGATGTAATAGTGTGTCAAAATAGGATAATACTCCAGACTGGTCATGGGGAAAATTAACAGGCCTTTTGGAAAGCTTTGATGTACATTTGTGATAAAACAGTCCTCCCTTTCAGCTTTCCTTTTGTGGTGGCCTTGATCAATGTGTGGAAACTCATTATTATGATCACGGAGCTATAGCGCGCCATGTTATGATTACAGCATTGACATAGATTCTTTAAGCTCCGCCTATTATTCTAACTAATCAAAGCCATGATTTATATCCAACATGCAAGCACATTATGGGTGGAGCATTCAGTGCAGCATGGCAGAGAGGCAAAACAAAATCTTGACTGGCTGCTGTTTACTTCTATGTTGTGAGTTTCCTCACATGCCTTGATGAATGGGAAGTTGTTCCCTAATGGAGGTTTCCAGCAAGAAGCTGGTCTTGGTTTTGTTTAGGTGTCTGAAAGGAGCATGTATATGAGCATGTTGGCCAAGGCTTACTGGATCATGCTGATACCAATTAAAGCAAGGTTTAAATTAGATTAAGTTCTAGCTCTTCCTTGAACTTTTAGTGAAAAATTCACACAAATGTGTACAGACTAGATGATGCTCAGTTATTAAAGCATTCTTAAGATGGATGAAATACAATAAACTGTCTTCTTGTGTCTTAACATTTTGAAGTGTCAAATCCAATTTACTACCGGTATATGTAACCTGTATTACCTGCCGGCAAACATGATTTTGTGTGCTTATTTCAGATTATCTATGAGTCAAGCTTGAAGGTATTGATCACTTGGATAACTTATGATTTTATAAGTCCAGGGTCGCGAAAAAATTGGAGCCTGTTAATGTAGATGTTCATGTTAAAGGTACCATCATCTTAGAGGGACTCAAAAATCAGTGAACCTACTGTTACTGGAGGAACATAAAGGTTGTTATCTGCTCCTGCATTTGAATCCATTTCAACATCCGCTCTGTTGTCAAATAATTATCCCCTACTGAAAGTTTATGTTCTGGAGTACTCCTTCATGCCATATTGCCTTCCTAGGCCCCTTTGCCCTTAAACCATGATTCTTCCCTTGGGATTGTAATTCAGAGATATCTAAATACTATACGTGACAGAAATATAATAGAGGCAAAATAAAATTAATGTCATCAACTTGAGAAGCTAAATATTGTTTCTGCATAAAAAATGATAGATTCCTTATTGTTACAGCATGGAGGAGTCCTGCCGTGGTTGCGTGTGCATTATACTGGAAGACCAAGCAACAGCTTTCAAACAACTTTTTTTGTTCAAAAACTATAGTTTTGTTTGAATAAGTTTGTGATGCTTAACAAAGCTAATAGTCTGTAGAATGCAGTGACTCTTTAGCAACATTATTGAAATCAACCAAATCAAACATCTTTTGCGGAAAGGTTACCTAATCTTTACGTTTTGACTGTCATTGCATCTGATAGCATTTCATTCTACATTTCATCTTTTAGATAACCTCTTAAAAGTCTATGGGAAAATATATTTAAGAAAAGACACTATCTTCACATCTCTAACATGAGCTGTCATCTTTTTTAATGAATTGTTTAAAATCTTAATCCAATAATCACTTTTAATTATGGGCCTAAATCCTTGAGGGATGGGGAGATGGTGATGAGCCAAAACATTTAAAGCAGATTGTGAAGAATTTACAGGATTTCCTAACGACTAAAATGTTTGCAATATCACTAAAAAGGAAAGCTATTTTAAAAAGCCATAAATACGCCATTCTGATGCAAGATTCCACATGAAGTTGATACATCTTTATCGTGAACATCGCCCCCTACATGTATCTAGTTTATATGTCACCCCACCTGCCCCCCATTTCCACCACCGATTTATGCCAATGTTAATTGAACATTGCACGTTTACATGGTGTTTACATTAGCAGCAACATTTTTTAGTGTTGAAAGAGTAAAATTATGTTATTTTTGACGGAGGTGAAATTCTGTGATGATGAACAATCCATTAAAATCCAGTGGGTTTCAAAAATGAAACGAATAACAATAATTTGACAGCGACAACAATTTTTGAGCAAAATCAGGGCTTCTGACAGTCAACATGGCACCATTTCTTTCAAAATGGCTATGATTATGTGAATTTTGAAATTTCTTTGTACATTTAAAGCAGCAGGGTAGTAAAGGGCTGTGCAGTGATGTACACCCCCAATATTTTGTCAAAACCAGTGTTAACAATAAGGATACTGTTTACTTTCAAATATGACCACATAGCAAGAATGTTGACAATGGAAAGCGCTAAGTTTTGTTTTTTATAAATTTTAAAATTTATTGTTTATTTTTTATTGTCAAGTTCAGTGGTTCCTTCCCTTTCTTTGTCACTTCTTATTTGTTATGTATGGTATATTACACATTTCTGGCTTAACTTTTACACTGCATCTTTAGACAAAAAGATTTCCCAGGATACTCACAGAAGTTTTGACCAAATCGAGCAAATGATGCATATTCAAATTTTGAAGGAGTCATCCTTGGCGCATGGGGAAGTTGATTGGTTAATCGGCGGCAGAGGTGGCGGGCTGTGCTTTTCTAATTAGGCATTCTAAGGTGTGACTGTCTTGCATATCATTTAAAAACACAAAAGAGTCATTGTAGGTTGGAATGCGCATTTCGTTCAGAAGCAGTTCGGCATTTTTGTGTGCGGCGCTGTAGTGCCATGCGTGGGACTCCATCTTGAAAAGCGGCCATCTTACTGGAAGAGGCACATACTGTACTTCACAAACATTTGCTGTGTTCTCGTCAACATTCTCGTTTAAATGTCACCCCAAGAACCTGCCGGTGACAAGAGCTTGCAGAATATTTTTTTGCCCCGCAGTGTTGCTCCGTACGTGGAAACGACAGTCACTAAGTGTTACATTGCCTTTGCCGTAACTCACCGTAAGTACTGCGACACGAGGTAGGTTTCAGAGGTAAGTGGTCTTTTTTTACGGCAGGGACCCAAAAAGAGCAATAAATAGTTTGTATTAAATGCAAATCAAAGGCATGGATCATCTTCTTGTATGAAAAGGTACCAATTCAGCGTGGAGAAAAGGTCAGAGTTAAACATGTTGAAGTGTTTTGTGGAAGCTAAATCGGAGACATCCACTAAAACTGATGTTTTTGAATAATGGATAAATCAAAATGCTATTTAAGACCAGAACTTGAGACATTAATTTCAAAATTTTTTTAAGTTTGCTGAGCAAAGGGCTCGACCAAAATATTTTAGGATGGGGTCCAAGAAATGAATGAGGAAGTGAAAATTGTTCTGAGCATTCGGACAGTGTGTTGGTCTTAACATCCAATAATAATTAATTATTACATGATATTAAAAATGGCATTTAGTGTTCGCCAGTTGCAACGGATCCAGTTCGTGAGGTTAGCCAAAAATTTTCATAGGTTTCCTCTGAGTTCAGAGAAAACATGAACATCACAAAACTACATGCTCAATATGCGACACGCAAAGACAGCTGGGCAGTTCTGGTAAAACTAAGCCAATTTTCAGCTTTTAAAATTAGTGTCATGACTTAATCACAAAAGATGAGTTGGTAAAAAAGTTTCCTTTATACTGGAAAATAAATCAATACTTTTGATGAAGTACTTCATAATTCAACCTTTGGGTTGCAATCAAGTGGAAATAAACCCTAATCCTAACCGTGCCAAATAAGCATAATGCTATCTGATTCTCTAAACAGCCCCTGGCATGGAGGCTTATTTAGCATAAGAACAGTAGCCAATTACAACTTGGGGCTCACCAATTCACATTATCTCCTTGTTTACAGGGATACTTGATGATTTTTGGAAGTGCCATGTTTAAGGGCCCAAGTGCCCCAATTCCAAACAATTTTAACTTGAAGCGCTTTAAACTTGCATTGTTTCATCCTTAAAGGAGTGTCTCAGTGATTCATGATTCGAAAGAATATGAAACTTGTATAGTTCCTCTTGTGTTGCATCATGTGGTGTATTTCTGTTACAGTTTCATTTAAATAGAAGAGTGATATTGATAAAGTGATTGATGTTGCGGAATCGTACAATTCCAAAAAAATGGTATTTACTTTTTGCCATGCGTTCGCTGTATCCTGGGGATATGTATAATCCCAGTGTAGTTAATTTAATGATTGAAAAAAATAATTACTGTAACTGAGATAACATTGGACAACTCCTTTGACGCTGTAGAAACTCAGTTGCATCAGAGTCATCTTCCATAAGATACAAAAATGAGCAATGTTTTTTTTTTGGTCATGGGATCTATTTCTGACCACCTCACATTCGCTGACAAATATCCATTCCTTCTAATGCATTATATCAAATTGGTAAAACTGGAATTGAGAACAGCTTTTCTCACACTTTGGGGTGCACACATTGGTGACCCACTCTGCAAAAATGATTTGCATGTTGCCAGAGCCACTTTTGAGTTAAAGGCCTTTGAAAAAAAATGTTGTACAGTGTCAGTGCAATAGCAATCCTCAACATTTTACCATCCACCCAATGTCTGTTTTCAGCATACCAAACTGAGAGACACATCGAAACAAATAGCTCAAATTCCTCAAACTCAAAAGTGGCTCCAGTGACCTGACTCATTTTTGCAGAGCAGGTCACAATTTTGGACATTGATTGTGTAGGTATCCAAAACTTGATTTTTATGACCAAAACTTGTCATAAAAGAATAATAAAAGGATAGATGTAACAAGGGAACATTTCCATACACGGACATCACTTGATACCCTCTGCTAAAAACCTGTGAGACTCATCTCAAAAAATTATATGCGTTTTTTAAGTAAATGCTTCAAAACGTAACTTTTTAGGACATGTTAAAACTTCTGATAAACCACTACAGAGGATAATTAGTGATGTCCATGTATGGAACTCTTTGCGAATAGAATGCCATCAGACAAGAAATGAAATACTGATATCAATTCCCACAGTGCATGGAAAAGGAACAAATGTACATTAACCCTAACCCTCCTCAATCCTTCACCTGTTGGAGGACTGAGGAGTGTTAGGGTTAGGGTTTCACTTTTTCTGACCATATTTTACTTTGGGATATTTCTGATCCCAAGTCGTAATTTTTGTTGTAGATAAGACCACTTTGTGGTTTCACAAGTCAGTTCAAGATTGCCTGTTTTGTTTTTGATTCAAATAGTATAATTTCCACAACCATTTGACCAAAATTTCAAGAACTGTAATTGGAATTCATTTTAATGTGATGGCATTCTATGCTTTAATAGAGGCAAATGCTTCGGCACATCAGCTGTAAATTTAATGGCTTTATTTTTCACCGCCATGGAAAATGAAGATGTCTTTAATTTTTGACATTTTCATGTCACTAGAATAGTTTGTGATTCTGTAGTTAGGTTTGCAAGGGTTGCAGGAATTTGACCTGCCTTCATCTAACCTTTTAGGGTGTGTATAAAATGTTAATGAAATTGGAGGATTCAAAGGGTTAGTGTCAGTGGTCATTTTTTTTAACGTGGCACAGTGGCAAAATATTACATTTGAAAATTTCTCCCATTGAAATCATGTTTGTCTAAACTTATGCAGATTTACCTCATCTTGAATGTGAAGTGCGGACAAATCAGTAAAGATTGAAAAATTCCCTTTTCTTTTTGATCAAATAGGCAAAATCCTATCAGACATATTGTTATGTGCTCTCAAAGCTCTCATATAAGTAATGTGCAAACTGCATTTTCTTTGAGGGTTTATACAAACCAAGATTATTTTTGTAACAGAGTATTCTCAGAGATTACTGTGAAAAAAGTGACCACTGGTATTTAACATCTTGCTACACTAAATCATTGCATGTAAAAATGTTTACATTGGAGTACAGGAATATCTGTTTGCTTTGTTTTGCTTTTTGTTTGTGGTGTTCTTGTTTTCGTTTTGTTTTACTTTTTTGCCCTGCTTGTTAGATAGAACTTAGCCCAAAGCAGGCATGCTGTGAAAAAGAAACCATATTTTTTGAGGTCTAATTCGGCTGCCAGAATGATCTACCATTAGAGACTTGGCACACTCTGTTACTGGAGGCTTTCAGGTCAATCTCCAGTGATAAATGCAAGTGAATCTTCATTGAGATTGTCATGGAGAGATATTATACACGTGTGTCTTCATCTAGAGCTTTGGAAAAAGCAGACAGTTTGTAGCAGTGACATCCTTTCATCCAGAATCCTGTGAGAGTTCTTCATTGTGACCTTTCATGGCAAATGTAGACTTGGGACAGTTACAGTTCATTCACCAAAAGCAGCTTCCTGCTCAGAGAATTGTAGGGAGTGATTGAAAACCTCCATCTAGTAGCGAATGGAGATACATGACAGCTCATGCATCGCAGTGGCATCTCTTCACCAGCAGCGAATAAAGACCTGCAGCAGTTCATCATGAGATCTCTCCACCCAGTAGTAATTGGAGACCCATGACAGATTATTTCCATGATGCCACTTCAGCAAGTAGTAAATGGAGACTTGAAACAGTTCATCAACATGACATCTCTCAGCCACCCAGCGCAAACAGAAACCTGTAACTTGCAGTTCAAAACCATGATGCGCCTCCAGCCATTAGTGACGAGAATACTTGTGACGCTTCTCACCTGATGTCTCCAGCTACTGGCAATGGAGACCTGTAACAGGTCATCCCCATGACATCTCTTCAGCCGGCTAGCTAATAGAAGCCTGAAACTTGCTGTTCACAGCCATGATGTGTCTCCAGCTACCAGTGACAGGGATACCTGTGACACTCATCTTGACATCTCTCCAGCCACTGGAAATGGAGACTCCTGACAGGACCATCTTACATCCTGTAGAAAGTGCAGACCTGTGATGGTTATAACCGTGATACTACTCCACCCAGCAGCAAGTAGAGAACTATGTGTGATAGTCAATCACCACAATGCCACTCCAGCTAGTAGTAAATGGACACCTTTGACAGTCTGTCGTTAACGTCTTGCCAGCCACTAGCAAATGGAGTCCTGTAACACTTCCTCACAGCAATGTCTCACCGTTTCTCAGTATATGGAGACCTGCCTTGCCACAGTAACATCCATCTAGCAGAAAGTGGAAACTTGTGACGGTTCATTATCATGATCCTTGCTCAATACAAAATGGAGACCTGTTTTTGCCGTAGCTATTAGAGACCCAGAACTGTTTATCACAAAGACATCTCTCTACCCAATACCTGTTAGAAACCTTTGCTAGTTCATGCAATAGTAGTTCATCACAATCCTTGATCTCTCATCCAAGTACGGGTACCAAAACCTAAGCCGTTGCCATTTGACTTCAAAAATAGCAGCAAATCCTGACTTCTTAAAGTATGGTTTCTTTTGTGTGTGGTCTCAGGCTGGCCTTACATCACTCTGAGTTAGGACTTACACCCATGTGTGATTGAAAGCTATTGCATAAATGCATCTTTACCATTTTTTTTCAAGGGATAGGATGGATTGATACCTTCAATTTGTTACTTTGATACAATTTCGATAAATGTTTCAAATTAAGAGAGAAAAAAATCTGTGAAAGTGAAAAATACATGTATCAACTCGTATTTACAGTTATCAATCATTTGTAATGTGATCAGACAAAAATGAGTCTTTTGCCAACCCTGATGAAAGTGTTTTTGTTCATTTGAAAAGGCAATGCCATTTTGTTGCTTTGAAAAGCCTGAGTATACAACCCTCAGTTCCAAAGTTAAAATATTCAAATGCAAAAATGTGATGTCAATAATGAAGCAAATATATGTGACCTATCACAACAAAATGAGCGTAAAGTCCGCTCTTTCCTATTTTGAAGGTTCAAAATCATATTGAAGTGGAGGTTACTTTGGGAATTTGTAATATTTGGAAAGACTAACCCCTCTACTAATACTATTTAATTCCAAATATTTTGCAGGATCATATACATGTAGTTAAAAATGTCATTTTTGCAGCAGTTTTTACAAAAGTATTATGCATGCCTGGTCTGAAATGTTGAAACAATGTCGGGAACAAAGACGCAAAGCTGCCAGAATAATGTCACATTGTCACCTTATACTTCAACCTTAAGTGTTCCATGTACATGTACATGCCATTGGAAAACTCTCTTTCTGCTGAATTAAAAAATACAAATATTTCAATTTTGAAAATTCCGACTTTCAGCTCATTTTGAAGTGACAGGTCACGGTCATTTCGTTTGATCACATCACATTTGTTTACCATTAAGGTACTGAATCCTCCAATTTCAACAAGTTTTCATGTTACCGAAGGATATAAGTTTTTAAGAAAAAGTATGGTATTCTTTATTTTGTCTCTCTGTATAAAGGAATTTGTGTACAAGATGTTTTGTCATGCTTGGCATGAAACATGTAAACTAATTAATTCTGAAATTTATTTTCTTTAGAAGGGCTATTCGTTTATCGTTTTTGTGAGTGAACTTGCAGTACGCTGGGGAGGGGGAAGTCTGCTTTTCAAATGACGCAAATGACGTTACTCTGCACTGAAATCGTCCATTTTTCCTTGCCAGTTTGTACTCTGTAGAAGGGGGAGGGGTCACCAAAAAAGTGTACTCGCTGCATGTTTACAAAAATTATGCCTCTAAGGTACATGTAGATGGGTCATTCCATGAGGTTGGGCACAATTTGTGACGGTGTCCTTGTTACATGGGTACCTTTTACCGTCTGTCATGACCTGTAGAGTAGGTCATTTACTCTGTAAAAATAACACACACCTCTGTGTTCAGCCTTGCAAGATGTCAATTTAGAATCCACATGCAGGGAAATAGCTGTTCGTTTTTACAGAACCCATGTAACAATTGACACCATCACAAATTGTACCCAACCTCATGGAGTGACCCAGATGCATAAATGTGTATTCCTGCATTATGGACATCATTTTGGAGCAGGACCAGGCTGTTGGATACGATGCATGTGATAAATTTGTACATTTGGGGGAGGGAGTTTTGTAAATTTCAGTGATTAATCAAATGTCTTTTTCTGACACTGATGATGAGTGAGGTACATGTAGACGTCATATAATTTGACTGTAACAAGGAGTTGTTTTTTCCTTTTTTTGGGTAGGGATGTCTTATCTCGTGCCATTTTTAATTTGTGTATAGAAAATTCAGCCTTTTGTATTTTTTCCAGTTTATCTTTATAAGAGAATGTTGGAAGGTAAATGCATGTCACTTGCTGTATCCCTGGAATGGCCTCACATCAGGGTGTCAGTTGGGAACAAGACCTGACTGACGGATACAGTTTGAATGCATCTTTACCTCTTTTTGTTAGGAGTGATGAAATTTTTGTAATTTGGTTTAATATATATATGCCCAGAAAGTGAACTTGTTTCAACTTTTTTTTCCATTCATACATGGGATATCAACTGATGAATGTTCAAGAGTGGAGGCTCCACAAGGATTGATGATTACAAGTAAAAACTGCCTCTATTGTTTCTCTGATTAATGGCAAAGGATGCAGTGAATGCCTTGTTGTGCATTTTTCCTTTATCCTAGTCATCTTTATATTTTCCCTAAGATTAAATTGAAAACATTGTGTAGACATGGCAAAAAGTAAAGAGTTTATCTGTAACATTCTAATCAATACGTAATAGGTATTCAATAGAATCGCCTAATACATGTATGTGACAGAAATACACCTGCATTGATAAGTTTGAAGTTTTCAGGGCTATTTCTTTGAAGGACTGTGGAGTTACATTGTTTGAATTTAGATGACATCCAGCTACTTTAAATCTGAAGTCACTTTGAGAATATATGGATTTGCAAGTTTCCGTATTCAACTGACGTTATTTTGTGTGGCACGTTGACACATCTTGATACTGATTTGTTTCTTAAAGCCTATCTTGTCTTTAGCCGTGTCCTTTCATGGTTATATGTTATCATTCAAAACCCTGAAATTCTAACCTATTTCACCAACTGGATCCAAACTGTATTTCAGTGTGATGTGATGACCCTTAATATTGACGATTGTTTGGAATCATCTCAACGACTGCATGATTCATACAAGGCAGGGTACAGGAACAATTTGTCTATCAACAGCAGGCAGGTTGATACCTGGAAGTAATCTGTCTCAAGTTGGATTGTTTTCTAAATAAATAAGACTATGAATTGAAAGGCTGGAATGCATGTTACTTGGAACAAGCATGAAAGACATGACAATATCTGAATTGCTTGAGAAGAATACTTTATTGCAGTTTGTTTTGCTTTTTTAAAGCAAGAAAATTCATCCTCTGAAAACCACTGCAATATTTTGCCCTACTTGGCCTCATCCTCTGAAAAACATTTGCAATATGTTTAAAAACACATGTATGGACTGATTGAAAATTTCAAAAAGTATGAAGACTTGTTCCTGTACCCTGCCTAAAAACAAAGCAATATTTCAGGAAACTAATTTGTTTCCGTTTTCTGTTGTTAAGGAGCATCTGATCTTGGGGAGCAACAAACACCGTGAGTGGAGTACATGCACACACAAACAGGAGTCCAAAATGTCATCACTGATGTCCAAGGGATTGGCTTCTCTACCTGCTCGATTTCTCACCTTCAAGACTGGATGCGCTCATCTGAGATAATTGCAAATCCATGGCAACAGCTTTTTCAGCATGTCTTTGAATTTTCTTTTGACCAGTCGGTTTTCAACTGAAAGTATTGGCGTGCAAGTCAAAAGATTAAAAGTGAGTTACATGTACTTTTATGCTTTTTGTGACTAACTGGACCATTCCAGTGGGGAACACTTTCACCCTGTTTCGAGAAAAACATGAAAAATCTAAGGTTTTTAAAGTAGCTTCATTATTTGTGTTGAATACTCAAATCCATTCAGAGATGGAATACACTTGTTGCCATGGATTTGTTAAGAGTGTTTTTTGAACCAGGCATATGTGGTTTAATTTATCCCCATGGACTTTGTGACTATTTATGTTCTGGTTATTTACAATGCCCTTCATTTCAGTTTAGTTGACGGAACTAACATTTAGGACATTTGAATTAAAGTGAATCTCGTAAACGTGATCAGCATTTTAAGGCAGTAAATCCAACATATGCCTGGTTCAGTAAATTGATTGTCGGAAAACGTTTTAGGTTTTATGAATACCCATGTACTATGTATAAATGGAATCTACACCAGCACATCATTTCATGTATTTGCTTGTGAAGCAAGAACTGTACAAAGTGCAATTGATATGTTTAAGTTTCGTATGAAATACCTGTTGCTGTACTGAAGTATGTGCTTTGGGAGTTTAAATGAAGTTAAATACACAACAATTTTAGTGCTTGAAATAGAAATTTGTAATCAAATAAGGTAATTTATAACAGATTTTTAAAAAACTTTGTTTAAATTGATTTCATGAAAAAGAAGCCATTTGAAACTAGTTTCTCCTTGTAAAGACTTCTTCCAGTGATTGCAAATTCAGCTTCTCGTGTTGAAGACCTTTCGCCTGGCTCCTCTAAAGGTTCTGTAATTTCCGCCTTAACTGTCTTTTATATTAACTTAAAAAAAACTTGGTTCTGCTAGTTATGAAGTGGTTGAATTCATTTAATAACTTCTTTTTAATTGACATATGATGTGTTGGTGTAGATTGTCTACTGATTGCTGAATAAAAAGTTTGTTGTGTTTTTGTGTTCATACAGTGTGCTTGCTGCCTATTTAACAAGCTCGTTAACACATGACTTCACACAAGGAGAAAAAGTTGTTCAAGATGTCTGACAAATAGCCAGTTTACTTGAGAAGAAAAAAAAATGCACTTTCCCATGGTTTCACATTGTTTTATTGATATACATAAATGAGCTAAAATAGGCAGCAGGCTTTTTCATACTGCCTTGTTGGGGGGGGGCTGCGAGCTTGGAATGGGGTAATGTCCAGTCAGTGAATGCACACTGCACCAATGTACTGGCGATAGCATTGTCTTTTTTTAATGTGCGCCCTCATTAATTAAAGTTGGATAGAAGGGCGCCCTCATCTTTTCTTGGAGAGAGGGAATGTGCGTCAGAGATGCAATAAAGAGAGCGCCCTCAATCTAGGTGTAATTGTTAGATGTATTTTGTGTAGTTATGTTTGATGGAAGGGCGCCCTCAATCTTTTCTTGGAGAAAGAGAATGTGCGTCAGATGCGATAGAAAGAGAGAGCGCCCTCAATCTAGGTCCTGGGTGTAATTGTTGGATGTATTTTGTGTTGTTGAGTTGATGGAAGGGGGGCGCCCTCAATCTCTTCTTGGAGAAAGGGAATAAGTGTCATGTAATAAAAAAGAAAGAGCGCCCTCAATCGAGGTCTGGGCGTAATTGTTAGATGTGTTTTGTGTAAAGTTTGATAGAAGGGCGCCCTCAATCTTTTCTTGGAGAAAAATATTTTTCTTTCAAAGAAATTTTATTTGAACTTGACCTTGGCATTGAACTTGACATTGAACTTGACATTGAACTTGAGCGACC